CCTTAATTAGTTTCCACCCATTGCACCTTGTTCTACCCTCAGGTGCCTTGGAGAATAGTTTGATTCCCTCTTCTTTGTGGCAACCCCTGAGATATTGAAACACTGCTATCATGTCTCCCCTAGTTCTTCTTTTCATTAAACGAGACATGCCCAGTTCCTGAAACCATTTTTCATATGTTTTAGCATCTAGTCATCCTTTTTGCTCTTCTCTGCACTCTTTCTAGTGTCTTCACATCTTTAAAATGAGTGTTTCTTTCTGATATTTTTTTTAAAAAAAACATCTTTTCTGACCAGCAAATGTTTTGTTCCTTCCAGGCTGTTTCCTTTGCGTGAACAAGGGATGAATTATCACGCCAAACGCCTCACGCGCCAAGAAATTGAGGTAGGAAGAATCTTGTCTCGTTTTTATAATATCCCATCTCATCCATGAAATTGAAGTTTTGATGTTTTGTCTGATTGCCTCCACACTCTTTAGCCCAGCGTAGAGCATCACATTTTGGAAGTGATTCATACCTTTTACCTATTTTTAAAATGCACGGGAACGAGGGACTAAGACAGTGATGGATAACCTTTTTGTTGTCATGGGCCTCCCGGGGGAGGGCCTTCTCTGTGGCTGCTCCGGCCCTCTGGAACGATCTCCCCGTGGAGATTCGGACCCTCACCACCCTTCAGGCTTTCTGCAAAAGCCGTTAAAACCTGGCTGTTCCGGCAGGCCTGGGGCCGATGAGTTCCCAGCCCCACTCGAATTGTTGCGGCTGTTGATGTTTTTAAATTGTTTTCTGTATTTGTTTTGTCTTCTTTGTTTTTTCTACTCCTCCTTTTCCCTATTGGGTTTGTTAGCCGCCCTGAGTCGGGGAATAGGGCGGCATACAAGTTTAATAAAATCAAAAATCAATCAAATCATTTTATTAGAGACGCCCTATTGGCACATCTGGGAAAACCCGAATCCGAAAGCTTCCATGTTTTCCCCACCCAAAAGAAAGTTCAAGTCCCTGCCCAGCTCCCACATGTCCGCCACATGGCCCAATCAGGCACCGTCCAAATCAGGAGATGCCTCCCAGTCACACCATCGCAGCTGCAGGGCAAGACGTCCTTGACTCTCTGAGAAAGGAATGTTATTTAGACTACATCTCTCCCATGCTCCATATAATTCCCCCTCCCGTTTTCCCACCATAGAAATTGTGGCAGGCCTGAAGGCCCAATGGTTCCCAGGCCTGACAGCTACTGCTAGATATTTGACGTGGTATTTTCTCATATGCCTAAATGGACTAGAGGGGTGATTTGATATTTGATATCTTCTTTGGCGTCTCTCAGGCCTTCAAGAAATCTAAAGAAGTCATGGAGAGGTTCGTCCGGGCTTATAAACTCATGCTGAAATTTTACGGCATCAACTTAATCAACGAGGAAACCGGAGAACTGAGTAAAGCGGAAAACTGGTGTGAGCGATTCGGAAACCTCAATCGGTGAGTTTCTTCAGAGATGATCTCTTGGCCTGCTTTCACCGGCCTGCTTGGGGGGGGTGGGGGGTGAGCTTCATGGTTCCACCACAAATCCGCGAAGCCCTTATCCGCGGAGACATAAGCGCGAAGACTAATTCGCACCGTTTGAAGCGCTAAGAAAAAACGCGACCCTACCGCGATGACATAATCGCGGAGGGCAAATCCGCGCATTCCCAAGCACTCAGTACCCTAAACCTAACCCTAAACCTAACCCTAAACCTAACCCTAAACCTAACCCTAAACCTAACCCT